CTGTTTTTGTTACTATTGCTCTGTAATATAGTTTGAAATCTGGTATCGCTATACCGCCTGATTCACACTTCCTGCTTAGAATTGCTTTTGCTATTCTGGATCTTTTATTTTTCCATATGAATTTCATGATTGCTTTATCTATTTCTATAAGAAATGTTTAAAGACATCTTTTTAATAAGCAGGTACATGAGAAATAATATGTGAGTAATTTGAATCCAGAAATCTGAAGGAAATAAACTATCAGAAACCTTCTTTGTTTTTCTTAATAATATATGTCAAGTAGTTTTCTGGACATTTTTATAGCAATGATCCTTCCTATAAGGAAAAATATTTTTGATTCCAGGGTTTGTATTAGTCCAGTTTCATTCATGTAGGCTTGATTGCCACAGGCCAGGGAACAGCAGACATAGGAATACCCAAATGCAATAAGATGGGGATCCTGACCCCCAAGAGCTTGCAGCCCCCGGCCAGTGCTCTCTTGAATCAACTCCAGGATGTGGTAGGAGAGTGAATGATGGGAAGAACGATTCATATAGCTGAGGGGAAGCAGGGGACTGAGAGGACATGGGGGTGAAGGAGGCTTGAAGCCTTGAGCAGTCACAGGGAGGCGTGAGGACATTCACCTGCATTCGCCTTCTCCAATATCTTTGCTTTCTGGCTCTTCCCACAGCTGCTGACTTCGTCTGCCCCAGGGGTTAGGAGGTCCTGAGCAGCAAAGGTGAGGCTATTTCATTCTCTTTACCTTGCTGCAGCCCCCTTCTTTGACCCCACTCTGTCACATCCACCAGCTTCTTTATGGGCTATAGAATGGCAGCTGAGGAGGAGAGTTTCAGAAGTATCAGAAAAAAGTTGATGTGGTTTAAATATGAGGTGTCCCCTAAAAGCTCATGTGTCAGACAGACAGCACAAGAATTTTCAGAGGTTAAATCATTGGTTTATGAGAACTGTAACCTAACCAGTGGATTAATCCACTTGTGTGGATTAACCTTGGTGGTACATGTAGACAAGTGGGGAGTGGCTGGAAGAGGTGGGTCCCTGGAGGGGAAATATAAGCCTTTGAGGTTTACATTTTCTCCCTGGTGATAGAGCTCTTTCTCCCTCTCTCCCTACTTCCTGGTGGTCATGTCCTGAGCAGCTTTCCTCCTCCACACTCTTCTACCTACCGTGACGGTCTGCCTCTTCTCAGGCCCAGAACTGTCGAGTCAGCCATCTATGGGCTGAGACCTCTGAAACTGTGAGCACCAAATAAACTTTTCCTCCTCTAAAATCATTCTTGTAGTGAAAAAGATGACCAAAGCAAAAGTGAAACACCTTTTCTAGTCTTCTCTTACTACTGAACTCCATATCTGTATTAGGTCCTGTGGGGATGGGAAAGCAACACGAGAAAGGCAAAGCCCCTCCCCCCCACCTCCCACCTCTAGTTCCATCCATGTTCCCGTATCTTGTCCCCCTTCTTCTCCATCTTCCTCTCCAGCAGACTCCCTCCCCAGGGTAGGGGGCAGTGGTAATTTGGGCTGGAATTCAGTACTGGAAGGCTTAAAATTGTGAGGAGGAAGATCAGCAGATTCTACCACTGGTCTCAAATGATCTGAGGTGCAGAAAATAGTTTTAAATTTTATATGCATAATAATAAAGCAATAGTTTCTGAACAAAGGGCTCAGAAAGCCTACATAAGCTTTAAAGAATGACCTTACATTGGGCAGGTAGGGAAGGGGAAGAGGTCATGGTTCCAGTGGATGTAACAGGTTGATAGTATCCAGGGCAAGAGTCGCAACTCGTATATGAGTGAATTGAGCCAGGAGATCTCAAAGCACCCTCACAGAAGGGGAGGTAAAACTATATCCTTTTCCTTTGGCTCTAAGGAAAACAGCCGTGCTCAGCAATGATAAAAGCATCTGGCAGTTGGCTGGAATGTCTGAGAGACAGTATGGAGTGGTGAGGACTGAGGCAAACAGCTCATGCCTCATCTCCAGGGACAGAGGGTAGAGAGTCTCATTCAGTTGTTGCTTTGGGGGAACTTGGGGACTTGAGCCTAGTACTGTTAGATTTTACATTCCACATATCATATTTGGGGTCCTATTCTGAGTGCTTAATATACTGACTTAACACTAAAAATGAAGTGAAGTTTTCCTAAAACCTGATACTTGAGCCAATTCATGACAGGTTCCATGGGACATGCAGTTCAGCTGTCTGTACTCCAAAGAGTACTTTGCCCCAAATCAAGGGATGGTGTTCTTCTGTGAGGCTATTTCCTGGAGGCCAAGGAGAGAGCTTTTAAGTAAACCTGTCCCCTTTCTCTCTTCCATATGGTGGTCTCTCTCAGTGTTTATTTAGGAAGTGACATAGGTCAGTCTTTTCTGTGTCTGACAAAGTTTCAGTATCCTTTCCAAATCCTTCCTTCAAATCTTTATGATTGATTCGCTTACTCTCTTGTGTCTTTTTCTTCTTTTCCACATTTTTTATTGATGCTTATGGGAGTACACATTGATGGGATTTGTTGTTACGTATTCACACATGCACACAATATAACAATATAAATTGACCAAGTCACTCCCCCACACTCCCCCTCCCCTCCTCCCACCTCTTGGTCCCTTTCCTCTACTGATCTCTCTTTGATTTTTAGGAGATCCAACTCCACCTTTGTGTTCCTTTACTCTCTAGCTTCCACATGTGAGAGAAAACATGCATCCCTTAACCTTCAGAGTTTGACTTATTTCGCTTAATATGATGGTCTCTAGTTCCATCCATTTCCCTGCAAATGCTATAATTTCATTTTTCTTTATGGCTGAATAAAATTCCATTGTGTATACATGCCACGTTTCCTTTATCCATTCATTCATTGATGGATACTTAGGCAGGTTTCATAGTTTGGCTATTTCGAATTGTGCCACTGTAGACATGGGTATGCATGTATCACTCTAATAGGATCTCTTTATTCTTTAGGGTAAATACCAAGAAGTCATATAGCTGGGCAATAGAGTGGTTCCATGCCTAGTCTTTTGAAAAACCTCCATACTGGTTTCCGTTGTGGTTGTACTAATTTACAGTCCCACCAACTGTGTAAAAGTGCTCTTTTGTGTTTTTAAGCCGTACCTTCTTTAGTGCAGTGCATTTCTTATATTTCTAAAAAATTTCTTTCTGACTTCTAAATATGAAGGAAAAAAACCCAAACATTAGTTCTGGACAAAAGCATAGCCAATCTTTTCACACCTGGAGAAATGAATATTTTTTTTCCCCAGAAAAGCCACCATATGTTTGGGGGGTGCCAGTTGGTCTGCAAATGGGAAGGAAAACAGATGCCTACTACACTGAATGATGAAAGTGCATGTGGGTCCCTTTCAGCCTTGGAAAACATTGCAGTGATGGAATTTGAATGTTATTGAACAGACTTTACTAACTACTCTTTATGGATGAAGTGTATGAGGAAATACCCATAATAATATTCTCCCAGTTAGATATTAGATGGCTCCAAATCTGTTATACAGAAAGTATGTAATAGCCAGACTTGGCAAGGTGTGGCAGAAACTGGTTTGAAAGATGCATTGAAACCTAGCCTATCAGTGACAACCCTAAGAAGTTTTAAACAGTTTTTAAGTGGTTCTTTTTTTTTTTTTCTTCTGGAACCACATACTCTTGAATGTTTGAATCATATTCATTTGTCTGAGCTCTAAAACTCCAGGACAGAGCCACGGGTAAGCCAGGACTTAGGAGCATCTAATGAAATAGGAAACTGGAGATCAGAGAAGAACAGCAGCTTTGGCTGGCATTGGTGGACCTGGCACCTGCAAAAATGTGAAGATCCACAGCTCAACTAGTCCCACATGCCATCAGCGCAGTCGCTCTCTCTGGCAGCATGTGGTGAGCAAGCCTACTTCTATAAAATAGGTATCTAGATTGCTATTTTCAGCATCTTGTAAATGTATTCAGAACATTGAAAGAAAAAGGATCTTTGTAGATCACTCAGTGTGGCGGTGTTCCCTGCAGGGCGTTGACTGTTACTTATTTGCAGTTTGGCTCCTAGAGCCCCACAGAGAGTAATGTAAGGAAGATATTCCTGAAACAGTAAGGGTTATAGAAGGTTGGAATCTAGATGTACAAGTCACAGGTCAGGTTGTATGACCCCTCACAAGTCACTCAGCCTGCCTGGGTCTGATACTTCCTCAGCTGTAAAATGAAGCCTTTGGGCTCCATGATGCTGTAGTCACTGCTTCTGATACTCTAGTGTGCATAGAAATTACCTGGGAGTCTTGTAAAATTGCAGCTTCTGACATGGTAAGCCCAGAGTGGGGCCTGGAGTCTGCCTTTCTAAAGACCTCTTGGTGCTACTGCTGCAACTGCTGCTGATCCTCAGAATAAGAACGGAGCAGGGAGGAAGAGCAGGAGGAAAAGATTAACATTAAACAGAGACATGAGATGGGAGGGAAAGGGAGAGAAAAGGGAAATTGCATGGAAATGAAAGGAGACCCTCATTGCTATACAAAATTACATATAAGAGGTTGTGAGGGGAATGGGAAAATAAACAAGGAGAGAAATGAATTACAGTAGACGGGGTAGAGAGGGAAAATGGGAGGGGAGGGGAGGGGGGATAGTAGGGGATAGGAAAGGTAGCAGAATACAACAGTCACTAATATGGCATTATGTAAAAATGTGGATGTGTAACTGATGTGATTCTGCAATCTGTATTTGGGGTAAAAATGGGAGTTCATAACCCAGTTGAATCAAATGTATGAAATATGATATTTCAAGAGCTTTGTAATGTTTTGAACAACTAATAATTAAAAAAATAATTTTAAGAGTAAAAACAAACAAACAAAAAGAATATATTTTGCTTAGCAAATTCCACAACATTATCAGACTCAAGCTTCCATTAACTCTACAATTCTATGACAGTGTGATCATCTAACATTTCAGAAAAGACAGGAGGGTTTCACACAACATGCCTGCCATGGTGTTAACTGTTCTCATTCTTCACAACCATCTTCATCAAAAACCCCTTAAGTGCCTAATTATGCATAACAGTTTTACATGCTTTACAAAAAAGAACTAAATACATTTGGTCCCTGCCTTATCAGACTTGACAATCTAAGAAATATGTAGAAACAGTAATAAATATTGAGGCAATAATAGACATTGAGTGGTAAAGGTTCGTCCACATATAAATACATTAAAATATTCAGCATGGGCCTCCAGGATGCTTATTTTTGTACAACTTTTGTTCCTTTTCAAATCTGGGAAACTAAAGAGACAACCTATAATTTTTACAAAAAAACAAGAGGTTTCTTTTTCTGTTATAGACAGAGGTTAGGGGTGGCAAGGTCAGTTTTGAGGCTGCTTTTTGTTGTTGTTTGATTGAATTTGAGTTCATTAACTTCAAAAGAAAATTTTACCAGCCCTACATGCCTAACCCTATCCATGTGCAGGTGTCTTGGCCTGACTTTGTCTTGGGCAGCACAAAGGGTCACTAAATTAATGGCAACATTTCCTACCCGAGGATCTAGGGTCATCAGTCACCCTCCTTCTACCCTTGGAAGCAAAGGAGGGAGAGCTGGATGTGGTTATCTCTGATTCCTAGGCTGTTTGATGATGCAGAAGGGGAAATTGGTGTGTCCAAATTCTTCATGGTAATTAACTCACACACGAAGATTAGAATTCAGTTCTCTTTCATTTGTATGTGCTTTCATTGGCTTAACTGATCCAAGGACTTGGCTACTTTGGACA